CAGATTAGACATGTCAGCTTACCTGCAGGTTTTCTTCTTCTCCAGGATGGGTTTATAAAATAAATAGTAAACAAGGAAAAAACACATTTTGTTTACTCAGAAGAGTGAATTAGTTGTGACATTGTGAAATGGACACTTTTTTTTAAATAGATTTCCCTCTTCAATGTTAGATATAGTTGCTGGGTGCACTATCCTTAGACGTTTAATGTGCTAATGCAGATGTAGCATTTCCACCGTCAACAAAACATCGCTATATTAATTGTGCATTTACCTTTGTGCATTTACAAAATATAAATGAGAATATGTGACTGACAGTAGTGACACACGTCTTGCAGATGTTAATTAAATATTAATATAAGTAAATTAATACCACATTTCCCTTAAATCCTGTTGCTGTTCTGTCACTTAGCCTGCTCAGTTAAAGATTGCAAAAACTATATTGTGAAAGAAGAGGATGAGGATATAGAAAGTAGAATAGACTGAAAGAAAAGTGCATGGCAAAAGAAAAAAAAAACAGGAGAGATGAGGTGAAGGGAGGTATGGCAAGACAGGTGTAGAGAAAGAGGTGTAGCAGAGACATGGACAGGGAAGAGGTAGAGTGGTAGGACAAACCTAAGATGGAAGTGAAGGGAGATGAAGGAAGCTGAGATGGCAGAGGAGGTACAAGGAAAGGTGTGCAGAGGGGAGCTACCTGCTGCTGATGGCAGTCAGAGTCAGTGAGGGATGGAGGGCGATCCAGCTGTGACATTAAAGCAGCAGGTGGAGGCCATCATTAGGACTGGCACAGGAGGCTGGATGAGCTCACACACACTTATTTCTTTTGAGGCCCAGCAGACCACTGCAGTGTGTGCATGAATGTGTCTCCTAGAAGAGTCTGAAGCGTAGTCCCCTATCCTCAGAGCTCATCCCCACCTCCCTCTTCAGCTTTCTTCCGTGGAACCCCTTCTCCTTCCCCAGGATTCGAAAGCTTAGCCCGGTGAGGGTTGAGTGGTTCCTACATCTGGTTTGCACCCTTGTAATGGCTTTTCAGTTATCTTTTACCCAATTACACTACAGAAGTTTGTTCAACTTCATTTTTCACCTCATAGCTTTTCTTATGTTGTATTCACATTGTGGTGAGGCACAGCAGGCAGCAAACTGAATGTTCCCTCATTTTTGAAGGCCATACAATAAGAAACTATGCCAGCTGGGCCCTAACCTTTGTCTTTTACAATCACACAGATGTTTAAAAATCTGACGTTTTTACATTATTTTTGTCAGATTCCGTCTGGTGATGTGCTGTACCACTTATCCAGGCCAATACATGCCACCTTGGTTATTTTTTACATCGCTCCACCCAGCAACCGCATATGCAATCCACTCTGTTGCTGAGAGACCCCCGACTAATAAGGCTGATAATTGGCAAGAATTTGACGATACGATACATATCACGATACAGGGGTTGCGATTTGATATATTACAATACTGTAAACAAGGTGATATATTGGGATTTTTTTAAATCAAATTTTAGAAAAACAGTCATAAAATAAGCAAAACACCATATACTGTAAATAAAATTTCATTAGAGCAGGAATCTACATTTGCATTTATCACAGACCCTGTAACATCCATCATCATAGCACTACTTGGCATGTGAACTATTAGTTAAAAATCTATACAGTGATCAAAATACTCAAGTGTTTCAATATTTTCTTACACCTCTACAGACTAAGGGTTTATCTTATTCTGCTGTGGCTCATGCATTTACAGAGCCATAGTTCACATATGGCTATGACACTATGACAGACAGAAGGAGAAGTAATTCTTTTTAACCGGGCGTTATCCTGGATAGTGTAGTTACTGTCTACTGTGTCCCCTGTTGAAGATAAAATATACATTTACCCCAAATTAGCCTACTTATAGATACAGTATCAATCTTTTAACATGGGAATCAATCCTAGAACAGGAAACATTGGGATCGGATGTATTGATATTTCAAGATCAATCCACACATGAGAAGTTGTTTCTGATTCAACAACTGCAATACATCACCGCCAGTGTAAAGTGCTTGCTAACACAGGTTAGTGAGTGCAGTACATTCTGCCATGTTTACCATTCAAAGTTAAATTTCAAAACCTGAAGAATTTGAAAACTTACTCAAGAAAAAGTCTCTAAAGTATGCCATGTCTGACCAGGCACCATTCCTCAGTGCGTATGTGTAATTGTGTTATTTGGGGATGGTGAGCTATGCTATGCCTACGACAAGCGTTAATCCAAGCCTTTACTTAGATCTCCCATCCCTTCAGGACCTGTAGATGGGCCTATCCAGGAACACCATTAGGCAAATGAAGTTGTTTGTATCAAATATTGACATGTTATCTCTTCATCATCAGGCGGTGGGAGGGAAGGGAGAGAGAAAGATTGTAACAGTGGGTAATTGAGCCGTGTCTCCCCTGCTTATCGGTAACGCTCTGGCACGTCACGGACCTAACGAGCTGTGGCGTGCCGATTAGTCTGAAGGGAAAGTTGAACGTGAAACATCAGAGCCTCAGTCTTTCTTTTCTTCCTTTTTTTTCATATCTGCAATGGATATTATGAGCCTCCCTGGAGGGCAGAGGCACAGCCTTATTAGTTCAATTCATTGGGGGGGAAGACAATTGATATGGATGAATGGCATGTTGGAGTATCCCTTTGTTACAATAACCATCAAGGCTGATGCTTTGAGCTGATGATGCAGCCAAAGGCAGCAGGGCGACAAGCTGAGGCCTTGACCTGGATGGCAGAAGACGCACACACACCGAGGGCAGGGGGCTGATTACACACTGCTTTAAACAAATGGATTTGCCCCTTTAACATTTAGATATGACATCTTTCTGTTTGTTGGGGTGTGTGTGTGTATAAAAGAGAGAGAGTATTGCTGTAGATGTCTATTTTTTGTGAGCACAGATTGTCATTTGTCTGTGTTTGTATTGGTGTTTGTGTATGTGTGTGCATATGCTGCCAGCATTTTATCTCAACATTATCAGGAACAGTAGTGTGTCTGTGTGTGTTAGATAATCACATGATGAATAGTTAATTGTAAATGTATTAGCATCTCCATTTGTGTGCATAGTGAGTATTCATATTCTTCCATTTGTGTACAGTTATTTGAGGTTGTGCATGCGATTATTAACACCCACTTGTGCATGTGTGCTGTGCCAGGTGCCTCCACAGGGCATTACCCATCCTCCACTCATGCCACTGAGAATAATCCAGTAAAAAATGGGCAAGATGAGAATCTCACAACATGTCAGTTTGATTTGTACCCCTTACTATCAAAGAATGCTAATTAAAATCATATTTTGCATATGTCTTGTCTTTCATGTGCGTATGCAAATTGCCCCTGTTGCCTTACAGCACTCTGTAATTAGGTTTATGAAGGACAGCTGTAATACATAATTAACAGAAATGTTTGCAAGCTCTTTTTTCTCCACGTCTAAACACGGCAACTTAAACAAGCATGCGTGAAGTGTTCCAAGGCAGTGCTTTTCTCTCACATATATTGATTAATTCTTTTACCCCTCTCAGAAGTATCTTAATTATGCTTTTTGTTTATTTATAGATGATGCCGTCAGTCAGAGGCACCTCCAGCGGGCCAAAGGAGCTCAGCATTTTGATCTTGCCATTTTCCCTGATTGGAGTATACAAGATTTAGGCATATGCTCACTCCCAGTTTAACTCCAAGGCAGCATATTAGATGGGTGGTTGGACTGAATTAGAGAGGACTGCAAAAATATAGAGTGATGATAACGAGGAGAAACAGTGAAACATGTTTGAATATTTATATGGTGGTGTTAGCTAGCGTTGGCTTCAGGGGCCTTGATGACGGACGGGAATCTGGGGCCATGATGGGATGGATGACACAGTCGTGTGTGTGTGTGTGTGTGTGCGCGCGTGCAGGGTATGTATACGTCCAGATGCTGAAAAGGGGGTTGGGGCAATAGCTGACATAGTGACATAACTGGTGAAATAATTGTTTTTTTAAGTTAGACTGACTCTTAAAGTTAGAAGTAAAACAAGCTTGCTGGAGAGAAGATGGAGTAACATTCTATTTGGAAAAAGGAAACGTGAAAACCTTTAGTAAAGAAGAAATGGGAGGAGCACTACAGAGCAGGACCTGAGCGTGTGCAGCAACAGTGCCAGCCACATGTCTGTTGGTTCAACTCCCTTGGCTTCTTTCATGTAGCTCCATCCTTGGCTCTCAGATGTGGTCATTGTCTCTCAGTTGCGCAGTAATGAGAAGTGATGGGTGCTAAATGAAAAGGCCAGGGGATAAAAACACTGTTGAAGCAGCTTGGATGTCAGAGTAGTTAGTCCTGTCATCTGTTCATTATGTTTTCATATGCTGTTTAGGAGACAGGATAAACTCGGGGCCCCCGACAAAGTCAAGACGTCGTGGTCACTGTTGAGCAGTGGCACCCATGTATGCACGGGTCCTTGCACGTGACTACATATTTGTTTGACACATTGATGTACATACAACATTTGACACTTTTTGCTTAGATTCTCACAAAAAAAAAGGTGCTAGTTAAACAAACATTCTCAAAGTTAGTTTTCTTCTCATGGTGCAATTTGTGTCTGTTTTTCTTGTCTGTCAATGATTAACAGAACAATGGTTATTGCACCCAAAAACAGGATTATGACAGCTCGTGTTTGCTGTTCAGAAAACTCAATGTCACTCAGACAGTATTTGCTGTTTTACAGCTCAGTATTAGAAACAATGACAAACAAAAAATGTTTTAAATCTGTCTCAAGGTTTACTTAAGGTACTCTACTGTATTTTATTTATTATAGTACACATGGTCGCAGAGGCTATCTACCAGTGTCTGTCCTTCTTGGAATTTCTTTTTCTGTATATCTGTACTGTAGGCAGTTATGTTCTGCAGTACATCTACTGTATTTGTAGCATAGAGTTTGATCAGCATAGCAAAGCTTGCAAGTGCTCTTTGGTTAACCCATGTGTTCTGTCTGTGTTTTTGTAGGTGGGCCTTTGTGATGAAGAAACACCTCAGCACCCACCTATTGGGAAAACATGGAGTTGGGCAGCGCAAAGAGAGGTACATTTAACACAAATGCAGCTGTATTCTCTACATATCTTAATCTGCTTTTGAGTGGTATTTCTTTTTGTAGAATACACACTTTGTTGGCAGTTTATTAGGTACACCTAGCTGAAAATAATACTATCAATACCTTCTAACAGTATCAGATTCTCTCTAAAACAAAAATTGTGCATAAAGGAAAGATTTATTGCACAATTATGTCATTAAACTGCATTTGTTTTAGCTAGATGTACCTTAATTATAAACTGAGTGTATATTATTATCATTTGCAGGCCGCACAAGAGTTTTATTTATAAAAGCTTGCCAGTAAAAAATAGTCTTATAGAAATGATTTTAGCACATTTACATTCATGAAAGCTAGAATTAGAATCAGACATGTTGCCCTATCCTGGATCCCTTCTGTCAAGTATCTCAGCTTGTTTTCATGAAACTAAAGTGAGAGATACAGCAGGCAATTAATTCTAAATTTTGGATGACAGCTCCTACAACCCCTATGGGGCTTTACTAGCTTTTAAAGCAAAAAGTCCCCACTAGTTAGATTTCAAGTTAAATATAACTTGAAATCCTCCCTTTCCCTAATGAGTTAAATGGCTTTCACTCAATCTGTCTGTCTCGCTCTCTTGCTTACATCCCTTTTTTCTGTCAAACTTCATCTGGCTCCCTCCCTCATCTTACTTTCTGCTCTCCCTCTTGAATTAAGGATGAATGATGCTTCTTTTACCATTTTTGTCTGTGTATGTGAGTGTGTGTTTCTGTGTACGTGTAATGTCTCCCGCTTGGCCCTGTCTATCAGAAGCAGAGCCTTGCTGTCAGTGTGTGTGTGTGTGTGTGTATGTGTGTGAAAAAGAAAGCTGAGGAGATGAAGTTGTGATGTGGCCCCCCACCACCAACCACCCTGACAAGCCAAAATGAGACGTTAAACACCTCTCAATCTGTCAAGCGAGCCGTTAAAATAGAAACAGACCCGCTTTTTTCATTACTCCACAGCCAAATTGATACTTTTGACAACATGCGGTAATAGATATGACAAGTGGCTTCAGATATGGAAGTAAGCGGCCCGACCAGATGCCTCTCCATCTCTTAGACATTATCGACTGTCAGATGTTCATCTGGATTAGATGGAAACAAATCCTTATATCCTCAACTGTTTTAAGTCCATGTTTCATCCATGTTTGTTATTGTAACCTTTATTTACCCACAGATCGCTGACAGAGTAATGTTTTTTAAGCAATATATAATAGTCACCTTTACATACTTGCACATCTGCAACCTGCCCGGTGCAGCCAGCTGTCTGCTGTTTGCCTCTAGGCTGACTGACCCCCAGGTCCAGCATTTATGCTGCAATCGGTACATGCCCAGTGATAAACTAAGGGAAAAAGAAAATGCAATCACAGCTCTAATTTATTTTGGCTGTTTGCCTTTCTTGAGATAAACGGTTTAAACATTATTTTTCTATTTGGAAGAATAGATACTTCTTCTCTTAAAAGAACAGATACTCCTTCTCTTAACAGTGGTTTAAAATGTTTATATAAATCTACCTAAAACCTGGAAAGAAAAACAAAAAGACAGCAGTTTGAAACAATTAAGAGAAATATGACAATGTGACCCGTGACCCCGTTTGGGACTAAGTGGTTTAGAAAATGGTTGGATGGATGACAATGTGATTATTTTATAAAGATAAAGCACACGTAGTGCCAGGCCAACAGATAAAGCCTACTGTATTGTTGGGCACTATAGAAAAATCCTGCTTGGATGCATACACTGTAATATATCTAAATGATTTTACTTTTTAATTGCATTTACAAGAAATATGTCTGTGAGATCCCAGAGAAACATCTTCAGTGGGCCAGATCTCTGGTCCCTTGCTAGCTTTTGGCACTTTGCATATGCTTCCTGACCCTAATTTCACTTATGCTGTGTGATATATTTAAGATTTGTATTACTTGGTGTATTTTCTTTGATTACAATGCAAGAAAGCATGGAATTCAAATTTATTGATTTATAATCATCAGCTAGAAAATTCCTCCAGTTGGAGCTGCATAACAGTTTTACATCTATACTACATTAAGGACAAAACCTTGCCTGTGTCACGACTGGATAACTTTCCTATTTGATAGGCTACCTTCATCTGTCAGAGGGGATAATTACTGACCATGATCAACCCAAACATTTTTTTTGTCACCCAGTGAATTAGTCTCTGTGCCCACCACAGAAGTGGAATTCTTGCTAATTTGGAAAGACATCTCATCTGAGAAGTGTTGTTTGAACTAACGCCAGCTAAACAACTTAGTGGTTTTGATGACGGCGGCACTTGCATTTAATTGACTAGTCAGTTTAAAATTCCCATCTCTAACTGCATCACACTTTGCTCTCACAGGCCTTTTGTGCTCATGACATTTTTACAGAATATGGCAACACAGCCAAGGTCATAGGGGACACACACATTCACACACAGGGACACTGGGCATGAATGGAGCTGAAAGGTTTGTGTGTTACCTGATAGTGTTTAGCTGAGTGTGTTTCTATGCCAGAAATAACTCTGGTCACTCTGCTCAGCCATAAAACCTTCAGCCACGCAGAGAACTGTACACCAAGTCACTGCGTGTTAATACACACCCATGTACTGTACACTTGCATACAGTAATGTTTATGCACCTACACACACAAGCTATACCTTCACATTCCTGCAAATAATCATCAAATTTCTTTGATCCCTTGTTTTATTTCCTTTTTATTACACTCATTCATGCACATTTAAACATGCACTCACACACACAAGTACACACACACACACACACACACACACACACACACACACACACTCCCTTGCATGCAGGGAGGACAGCCACAAGGTTTGTTCTATTTAAACCTGTAAAACACGGTGTCAACATTTTTCTGACAGTCCTGCAGACAGAATTTATCTCATCATTAATTAACCATCATATTTCCAACACAGTGCAACTTAATTAGCACAAGGTCATTGGGGAGGGCTTATTAAGTGGAACAAATTTAGGCAAGTGTAAGAGAGGAGGCAGAGGACAGAAGTGGAAAAGGAGGAGAAAGAAGGGGATTGAGAAAGAGGTGGTGTCACAAAGAGAGAGACAGAAAGAAGGGATGAAGGAAATGAAGAGAGAGAGAAAGTCTTTGTCTGTGTTTGTATCAGTGGTTTGGTCTGACATAGTGCTGGCTCAGTGATTGATAACTGCACTGGTTTTGAAAGCCTAGGCCTGGAGACTAGGATGGTAGCTGAGGGAGAGAGAGAGACAGAGAGAGGGATCGGAGGGGGAACTGTGTACGTGTGTGTGTGAGGTGGGGTATCTGAACAGGCAACTGGGGACCACTGGGGGGGAGGGGGGTGGATGAGAGCCTATGGGGGCTGTTGGGGGGAGCCAATTGCAAACATATGCTGGCTGGCAGGCGGTGGAGAGATGGATTGCAGCGGGACAGTGTCAGAGAGGTAGTTTCATCACCATCTCTATGGCCCTGTTCACCTGGTATTTTTAGAACACTGGGGAGATCTGTTAGTCAAAGGAAGCGAGGAGGAGGAGCAGGAGGAAGACCTGACTAGCCGTAGGTAACACCAGGCTCCACTTAACTGTAGCCGTCTGAGGCCTCAAATGCCATGTTATTTTGGTGGGTGTCTATGATGAGGATAAAGTCCCACTGATAAGGGGTTTCAAAGGATGATCATACTGATCATACTAGCCCCTTTCACAGATGGTAGCCACAAATTTTTGCAGGCTACATATACCCATGTAACTTTTGCTTTTTTGTGTTCAGACTTAGATTTGCTGTGCACAAAATTCCCAAAAAGGCTTTGTTCAAACATAGCAGGACCTAGCTGGGTAGAGCCACGTTGTTCACACAATATTGAACATCACTGACCTGGCTATGGGTGTGCGTCTGTCTACTGATGTACACAGTTTTGGCATAACTGTTCTGTTTTAGTTGATCGGCTTAAAGCTGTTGCAAATATCCAAAATGTTAATTTAAATATACATCCACTGGTGCCTCTATTGGGGAGGGAGATGGAAAGCAGAAGAAAGAGAAGGTTTATACTATATTCTATAATATTGGTTGAGGAAACCAACAAATATTTCTGAACTGCAATCACATAGCCCTCTGCCAGTCAAATTGTCTTTCATTTTGTTTTAATTTTGTTTCACAATTTAAACCTGCTTTCCCTGACCTTAAATTTTAGTTGCAGTTTCCTCTCCTCAGTCTGTGGTGGTAAATCATGTTCTGAGGGGTTTTGTATAAATTGTCATTCTCTCCTCCTTTTGCATCTCCGAATGGGAACACCTTAAAAACATGTATGAAACCAAACATGCAATTTCCAGCGGTGCTGCTTTTCTTCTTTTTTTTCCCCACCACAAAACCTAACTGCAGCTCCTTGGTAAACAAGAAAACACACAATATCACTACCAAAACATATGCTACAAAACCCCAGTAAATATTTCCCACTGTGGTTTTTAAAGTCAAATGTTTCTTTGGGCACAAACCTGCAGATATTCTTGTCTTGCCTATTTTCAGTGTACCATGCATGTTTTTAGTCTTGAAGGAAACCTTCAAAACCAGAGAGAGACCATGTTAAGACCACATCATAAGAACCCATGGTAACGCAGGTGTCACAAACCTTTTAAATGTTCTGGAATGTTCCTTATACAGGGTAATCCTTGAATTTACCAAGTGAAGTCCCTAAGTGACATTGGTTTAACATCCTAGTGCAGTCACGATGGCGTGTCACACCTCCCAACAATCTTCATACTCCCCTGGAGTATTTCAGAAAGTTCAGAGTTGCAGAAATGCTTGAGTTGCTGAAGGAACAAACAAATGTGTACAGTGTGCAAAAATCTGAATGTCACAACAATGTTAACACCACGGTAAAGAACTGGAAATATTTACTGGCCTTTAAGTGCGCATGAGCCTTTGCCAAATGTTGAGAAATCGTACATACTGGGAAAATGACAACATGTCACATGATTGTTTTCAGACCC